CGAAGGGTTCTGTGTGACATAGCACCAGCTGGTAGTGGACTGCTACAGCATCACAGCGCACATATGGGTGTCACTGAAAGACAGTGCAAAGATATATCTCCAAGCAGATAGAGCTTTGAGGGGCACATCTAGTCCACTTTGTTTTGAAGGAGAGTAGTTCTGAACTGTGGCTGTATGCAAGGGCATACATAACAGTTTAGCTGTTGTGAGAAATATTATTACCTTAGGAGTTAAGAACTCAGATTTGAGCTGACTGCCTGGGTTCAAGTCCTGGCTTTGCTACTTACTGTCCATGCAACTTTAAGCAAGTGATTAAACTTTTTGTACCCCTATTACCTCTTCTTACCATTTTAAAGAAGGTAATGATACTATCTACCTCATAGAGTTGCTGTGGTGAGGACTGAATTAATATAGGTAAAGTACTCAGCACCTGGAACACAGTAAGCACTGTGTAAGTTTATCTGCAATGGATGATGATGGTGATGATGTCCAACAGTCAGGGATTTGGAAGGAACAGAACTAGGACCCATAACAAAAAATTCTGGCAGATTCAAGAATGGTTCAAATCCTATAGGGTTGAAAATTTCCCCCACCAGGGAATGAACCCTGATCAGCCATGGTACAGGCTGAAGGCAAAGAGAAGGTGGAGGGGGTCAAGAAGAAAGGTAGTTGTAAATATCAACTACAGCCTTAGGCCTGTTGCAGAAATGAAGATTCCAACAGGCATCAAATGCTTTGTCCTTGTCCTATTATGTGACCATTTTCACTTTCCTTCCCCTCTCCCTTTCCTCTTCTGTTTTATATATGGTGATCCTTCTTAGCCAGGGGTGATTTTGAGCCATGGGGGACTGATATGGTTTGGCTCTGTGTCCCTACCCAAATCTCATCTAGAATTGTAATACCCACGTTTACAGGGAGGGAGGCAATTGGATCATGGGGATGGTTTCCCCCATGCTCTTCTCATGATAGGGAATTCTCATGAGATCTGATGATTTTAAAAGTATCAGTTTTCTCCTGTGCTCTCACTTCTCCCTCCTGCCGTCTTGTGAAGAAGGTGCCTGCTTCACCTTCCACCATGATTGTAAGTTTCCTGAGGCCTCCTCAGACATGCAGAACTGTGAGTCAATTAAACCTCTTTCCTTTTATAAAGTGCCCAGTCTCAGGAAGTTCCTTATAGCAGTGTGAAAACGGACTAATACAGGGACCTTTGCCAATGTCTGGAGACAATTTCAATTGCCATGACTTGGGAAAGGGGAGTGCTACTGGCATCTAGCAAGTAGAGTAAGGGAGGCTGCTAAACATCCTACAATGCACAGAAAAGTCCCCCACAACAGCGATTATTTGGCCCAAAATATCAGTGTTCTCAAGGTAGAAAACTGATAGAGAGTATAGATGGTGGTTCATATTTTAAGTCCACAAGTTACAGGATATCAAGATGGAATTGGGATTGAACCAAAGAAGGCTGAATAATACCCAGAAGTGGGTGTGTGCTTTCCTGTTCTTCAGAGTCTACAAAGAGAAACACTCTGTTTCCCAGACTTGCTTACAACAAGGGATCTGGGTGTGACTTAGATCCCGCCAGCCAGAGGCACTCACGTGCCTCAGATTGCAGCAGAGTTTACAGTACCCTGGGGTGGACTGATTCTGCAGGGTTGTTTTTTATGTCATTTCTGAAAGTCTAATTAATAGCCCATTTCTCCAGCTCTTCCAATTATTTTATAAACACTAAAACCCTATATAGAATCCCTTAATGCTTAAAATGGTAAGAGTAGTTTCTGCAATAGAACCCTGATCGATACGGCAATAAATAGTATCCACAATGACTTATCAATAAGAAAAAGTAAAAAAAGGAGAGAAAATTAAGTAAAATATGTGAATATTCCAGAGGGAAAAAATAAGAATGTTCTATAAACTTGAAAAGACGTTCAACCTCATCAGTATTAAGGGCAACCACAACGAGATACATTTTCACATCCACCAGATCAACAGTTTGGATGATGCCCCTAAGTAGTCCTGAAGCAGTGCCTCCCAACCTTTCTTACCTAACAGTGCACAGAGAAAGCCATAGAATGTTACCAGCACAGGCCAGGTGCGGTGGCTCACACCTGTAATCCCGGCACTTTGGGAGGCCGAGGTGGGGGGATATCTTGAGATCAAGAGTTCTCTACTAAAAATACAAAAATTAGCTGGGTGTGGTGGTGGGCACCTGTAATCCAGCTATTTGGGAGGCTGAGACAGGAGAAACGCTTGAATTCAAGAGGTGAAGGTTGTAGTGACCTGAGATCACACCACTGCACTCCAGCCTGGGTGACAAAGTGAGACAACATCTGAAGAAAAAAAAAAGAAAGAAAGAAAATACAAGTCAGTAAGAACAAGCTACCAACAGCCTCCAAAGACTTACATAGGATCAGTATTTCTGCAAGAAAATCAAGAAAGCAATAGACTCGAGAAGATTCACTGGAAAACAAGGCAAGCCCGTTAAGAACAGCAAGCAAAGAGGAGGCATTTTTCTCACTTAATAGTAGATACGTACAAGGGTTCCACCATAGCAGGAAGATTACATCGTAAGACAACAACATTCAAACACGAAACACAGTATATATAAAATTAGAGATATTGCTGGGCACAGTGGCTCATGCCTGTAATCTGAGCACTTTGGGAGGCCCAGGCAGGCGGATAACCTGAGGTCAGGAGTTTGAGACCAGCCTGGCCAACATAGTGAAACCCTGTCCCTACCAAAAATACAAAAATTAGCTGGGCATGGTGGCATCCATGTGTAATCCCAGCTACTTGGGAGGCTGAGGCAGGAGAGTTGCTTTAACCCAGGAGGTGGAGGTTGCAGTGAGCCGAGATTGCATCATTGCACTCTAGCCTGGGCAACAAGAGCAAAACTCCGTCTCAAAATAAAATAAGATAAAATAAGAGATATTGACAATTGGGGAAGAGGGAGAGAGACTGGAGCATCTAGCTCTTGTGAACACCCAAAACACTGGATAATGTGGAGACCCCCTGACCTTCTCCTGACTGTGGGCTGCTGGGTTCGTTAATGGTAGAGTAGCTTAGGATGAGCTCCTTCGTTCAACCCAAAGAGCAGGGGCTCACAGAGGTGTGTTGGACTCACTTTCGCCCTGCTACCTCATACTAAAAACCCCTGGGTCAGAGGCTCAGAGACCTGAGTTCCATCTGTGGCTGTCTGAAACCTCCAAAAAACCATTTCACTTCTCTGAGTCTCAGTCTCCTTGTCTGTACGTGGGAATGATTTTAATGCTCACTGTCCTGCTTATCTCAAGAGACTGTGAGGTTGATCAAAAGAGACAAGGGGTGTGGAAGGGAAAGGGTCCAAGAAGAGCACTTTTCACAGTCATGAGTGCAGGAGGCAGTTCCGCCTGTGCTGCTATGGGATCTTAGGCAAAGCCGCAACTTCTTTCAGCTCCAGTTTTTCTCACTTTAAAATGACAACAGGCCAGGAGCGGTGGCTCACGTCTGTAATCCCAGCACTTTGGAGGCTTAGGCAGGCAGATTGCTTGAGTCTAGGAGTTCTAGACCAGCCTGGGCAACACGGCAAAACCCCATCTCTACTAAAAATACAAAAATTAACTGGGTGTGGTGGTGTGCGCCTGTAATCCCAGCTACTCAGGAGGCTGAAGTGAGAGGATTGCTTGAACCCGGGAGACAGAGTCTGGAGTGAGCTGAGATCGCACCACTGCACTCGTCTGGATGACAGAGTGTGACCCTGTCTCAAAAAAATGAGTAAAATAAAATGATAATAATATTTTGCGGCCGGTGGCTCAAGCCTGTAATCCCAGCACTTTGGGAGGCCGAGACGGGCGGATCACGAGGTCAGGAGATCGAGACCATCCTGGCTAACACGGTGAAACCCCGTCTCTACTAAAAATACAAAAAAACTAGCCGGGCGAGGTGGCGGGCGCCTGTAGTCCCAGCTACTCCGGCGGCTGAGGCAGGAGAATGGCGTAAACCCGGGAGGCGGAGCTTGCAGTGAGCTGAGATCCGGCCACTGCACTCCAGCCCAGGCTACAGAGCAAGACTCCGTCTCAAAAAAAAAAAAAAAAAAAATATATATATATATATATCTATATATATATATATATAGATATATAGAGATATATATATATAGATATATATATATATAGCATTACAGAGTTTCTGTGAGAATGGAGTAATACCAGGAAAGCACGTAGCACAGTGCCTCACACAGGGAGCGCGTTCGCTAAACGTTAGTCACAAGTGTGATTGATCACAAGTTAATCACAAGTGTGGTAAGAATAAGTCCCGCGTTAATCAGGATTCTGGTGTGAAAATTGCTGAGCCCTTCATGCTCTTCCCCGCTTGCAGACGCCAGAGGGCGACATAGACGGCGGGACTCTAGCCGCCAAGCACGTCCGCCGCAGACCCATAGTCGGCCACGCGGTGGCGCTAAGCCACACAATATCCGGTTTTCCGCAGGCTTTGGGGAGCAGAGGGCTGACCCGGGGAGAGCGGAGGCCGGGTAAGGGGGCCTTGGGAGCCAGGGAGCCCTGAACCAGAGGGTCGAGGACCCTTGGACCGAGTATTCTCCGGGCTCCCGGGACACAACAAGATCAGCTGGGAATGAATGGGTCCTGGGCTTTTGTGAATCTGAGTGGGGCATCCCCTCCTCTGGGCGCCGGGCTGCGCCCCCTTCCCCTGGGCAGCCGCGGGGCCGTGACGCCTGGCGGAGGGGGCGCGCATCTTGGCGCGCGCCTGTCCTCGCAGTGGCTCATTCATCGCCGCCGCGGCACGCCGTTGCCATGGGGACGTGATGCAGGCGCGAGGAGCGGGAGGGAGAGGGAGGCCCCGGGTGACGTCCGCGCTCTTCTCGCAGCTCGTCTCCCGCGGCCTCCCAATTCTTGCCTAATTTGGAAGAGAGCCGCAGCCCTTCTGCTGATGCGCGCGCGCTGGCGCCTTTTTAAGGCAACTGGCGGAGTGGCGGCTCCACCAGAGCCTGGGAGCTGCCCCCGCCCCCGAGCCGCGAGCCCTTCGCGGGGCCGGGGCCCGGGGAGTCCCCGGCGCCGCACGCCCCCACCACCCCCATCTTAGCGCCCCCCACCCTCTATGGGGACATTTCAACCAGGGAAAAGGGAGGTCCTGCACTTGCCCCTCGCCCCCGCCCCCCTCCTCCAACAGGGGAGACTTCTGTCCAAACCTTGGAAAGAAACGAGATGCCAGGCCTAGCGCCTTCGGGGATCCTCTCTGGACAAGGCCACAGGGTGAAAACACCAGGTGAGGACTTCACTACCCTTGGGGCCACCATGGGACCCTGGAGACCTTTGCCTCCCTCCAGGCCCCCCGGCCCCTTAACCTTTTTCTCCCTGTGCTCAGCCTGGAGCAGAGTTAGGATCCCAGGAAAGCCCCTTACCAGTTGCTCCAACCTCCTCCTTAAACTGGAAGGTAAACTGAGGCCCAGAGAAAAGTAGTGATTGACTAGTTCCTGGAGGGAGAGCATGGGCTAGAGCCCACGGCCGCTGACCTCCTGGCCAGAGGTCAGGCCATTCCTTATGGTTGAGCTTAGCCAGCCCCGTGTGCCAGTCCCCAGCCTCTGCCCTGCACCAAGCAGAGGGGCTGGACACCTTTGTCATGACACCAACTGCCTCTCCTTCCCCAGCACAGTCTGGACCTGGGCGGGGTTTTTAGAGAAGCTTCTGGACACCACTCCACGACAGACCAACCAGGTTGCTGCTGCTTGCAAACATCGCCTGCATTGAAGGATTCCTGTAGCCACCAGCTCTGGAACTTTCTGGAACCAAACCTTTCCCCAGACTGCCTACAAGGACCAGTTTGCTTCTGGATGTAGGTGTGGCCTGCAGGGGTCTGGCAGGGCTCCCCAGAGTCAAGTGGACCCAGCCCTTTGGAACCCCTCCCTGGTCCTGTTGACTTCTGCCCTCTCCCTGCAGCACTTCCTGGAGGCGTTTGTCGGGGACCTGGGACGACAGCTGGGAAGTGCCTGACGTATTCTCAAGAAGCTGCAGATTCCAGACATCTCTGGGCCCCTCTCTGGACTGGGATGGGGGACCCAGAGGTGGAGAAGAACACACAAGCAGCACTTGAGGGCTCCAAGGGTGGCGAGGAGAGAAGTTTCTGCTCTGCTACAGCTAGCCCTGGGACCCTGAATGGTGCTACAATGGAGCGTCCACCCCCAGCGCCAAGCCCTCAGTGCAGAGGGGAAGACTCAGGCGGCTCTCAGACAGACACAATTTGCCAAGGTCACACAGCAAGTGAGGGTGCCGCTAAGACTAGGACCTGGAGCTCCGCCTCCTGGCCCAGGCTTCTCAGCACCTGGACCCCAGAGGCCAGCCTGTGGGAGGCCCGCATGGCCACTGCACCACAAACCAAGGACCTAGTCTGGGTTCACCTCCACCAAGTGCTGGCCGTGAGTCACTTGGGTCACTCCACTCTCTGCATTAGGCCTCAGTCATCCAAGACCATCTTTCAAGGGCCCTCACTCCAATTATGAGTCTGGGACTTTCTGAAATTGAGCATTTTGGCCAGGCTGTGGGGGCCCTCTGTGGCCACCTGTAAGACACTGCCGAGGGAACTTTCCTCCTCTCACCAGACTGAAGCTAAGAAGTGCTGGAGACAGCAGTTGCTTTAGCCACAGGCTGTGTAGACCACCTGAGGATGATCTGGGAGTCTGTTTTGTGCACCTTGGAACCCATCGGATCCCTCCAATGGTGAGTTCCCTGGTGTACCTAGCACCAAGCTGTGAGAATGACCCCCAATGGGTTGGGTGGAAGAAGCAAAACTACAGGCTCAGTCCCAGTACTTATTCCCCTGTGTCCACACAGGCCAGGTCTCCAGGGTCCCTGCCCATCCAGGGCTGAGGACGTGGTCCTCTGGGAGCCTTCAGGCCCACTCGGACCCTAGCATTGGGCAATGGGCTCATCCCCACCTGAAACTGGGGCTTGGGGTTGCAGCATTCAACTTCCAAAGCCCAAGAGGCACTGGGACAGGTGGCCCAGCAGGCTCAGAGATGCTCAAGTACCAGAGGTTGGGAGGGCCCTTTGAGGCTAAGGGGTCTGACCCACTGCTATTTTGCAAATACAAAAACTGAGGCCCGGTGAGGGGGAGAGGTTTGCAGAACACCCCCAGCAGGCTAGTGGCAGAGCTGGGAACAGAATCTGCATCTTCCGCTGCTCCTGGTCAGAACTATTCCCCTGCACCAAACACAATCCACTGACATCTAGACTGAGCTCACCTCTTCTTCTTCCTGGACCTTGGACTCCTTTTGCAGAAGACTCTCCGAACTAACAGCCTGTCAGGGCTGGCAATTCAGGGGTTTTCCCTTCAACCTGATGGTCCTTTCCGCCAAAGCTTCCTAGTGCTCCTCCCCTCCCACCAGTGCTCAGCCCTTCTTGGCTTCAGAAGCTGCTCCATCCTCAACCGTAAAGGTCACTCTCCCCTGCTCACCATGGTTCACCCAACTCCCTGTGGTTCCCGCATTCCCAGGCATGGAGAGCACCATTCTCACAGCTCGTGGGGGTCTCTTCTTTGTTGCCCCTAGGCCCAGTCCCTGACCCTCTCTGACCACTGGAGCCTTAAACCCCATCAGTCTTTCCTGGGACGCCCTGGACTGTTCCCTGCAGACTCCCTCTCTGCTGGCCCAGGGCCTGTGGGAGTAATGATGGCAGGCATGTCATAGGGCTGCTGTGAGGTTTTCATGAATTAATACGCTCATCAGGTACACAAGGTATGAGTAGGTGCCACATCTGTAAACTCCCATGTTACGAGCTGTGCCCTGTTAGTAACAAGGAGAGACTTGGAGCTGGAGCCTCTGGAGGCCGAGGCACCTGTGGGTGAAAGGGGAAGAAAGGAGGTGCCAGCCTGGAGGAGTTTTTAGTAATCAGAGATAATGGGAGCCACAAGGGTCTTAAGCTGGGAAGAACATGGTCAGGTCGGCTTCCAGAAGAATGGCAAGGGGAGCTGGGCTACTGAGCACCAGAGGGGTGTGTTGGGCCTAGCCCAGGCCCTCCATCCCTGGCTTGGTGAGCAGTGAAGGGGGAGCTGCTGCCCAGGGAAGAAGCTTGCTGGGGCCCGAGCCAGAGCCCTGAGGGGCACTTTGAGTATATCCCTTGACTTTTCCAGGCTACAGCCCCAGCCTGGCTTACTCCATCTTGTGCTCTCACACCTGGCCTGGACCAAAGCTGCTAGTGGGTACCCAGGCTATTTCTACACTTGCAATGCCAGTACATGTGCTGCCTCCTGAACCAGCCCGTGCAGTCTCTGCATAGCCTTGTTCAAAATTATATTTTTCATAAAGTTAAGATAACGACCAACATTCTGCCATTGAGCATTTCTTGTGCTCCTTTTATGCATCAGGCATTTTCTGAGTGTTTTAACTACTTAACTCCTTTAATGCTCACATAAGTCCCTTGATAGAGGTGCCATCATTCTCCCCACTTCTGTATTTAACAAATTGGTAAACTGAGGCACAAAATGTTAAGTCACTTAACTGACCAATATCACAGAAGCAATCTGTGGAGGAGGCAGGACTCAGCCCAGATTCTCCTCCCCCTGCCACCCCCTCCTGCCCCAGGTACATCCCTGCCCGCTGGCCTTTCCACGCGGACCATGTCTCTCCCACCGCCTCTTGATGGTCCTTCAAACGTCTGCAAATGCCACACCACCCCTCAAGCTTCCTCTTCTCTGAGGAACATCTCTCCATTCCTTCCAGCTTTTAAACATTTCTTACAAATGTTTATGAAGCACTTTACTCCACACTGGAATTAACAGTGGGCAAAGCAGTCACGGTCCCCGCCATGGTGACCACAGTCTAGTGGAGAAGAGGCAATAAATTCCTCACCAAAATAAAGTATTAAATCGCCATTTCGCCAAGTGCCAACAGAGGCCTGGGGTGCCTGCGAACCTGTAGCTGAGGATTTGGCCTCATCGGGAAGGTCAGGGAAGGCTTTCCAGAGGAGATGATATTTGGGCTGAACTAACAGGGGAAAATAGGAAGAACTCGGCAGAGGAGAGAGGCGGCGGCACCCCAGGGGAGGGAACAGCATGTGCAAAGGCACTGTGGTGGCCAGGAGAGTGGCAGGCCAGGGACTGGAAGAAGGCTTATGTAGCTGGAAGAGAGGCAAGGGGGTGCATGAGGCCAGACAAGCTGGAGGGCTTACCAGAGTCAGGCCTGGGGGATGCCCTGGGCCCTGCCTCACAGCCTCAGGTGCAGTTGGCCCTTCCTCATTGGCTGCTGTGCTCAAGGCTAGGCTTGGACCCAGAGCATAAGTTCTAGAGCCAAACCTTCTGGCCCTAACAGAGGCTGCCCTCTCTCCACTTTTGCTGCCTGTCCCTGTTAACACAACCTCAGCTACAGTGGTTTCTTTTGTGGCTACCTGGCACCGTGTCAAGTCTCATTTATGAGGCCACACTCCTCTGTCCACCCAGCCACCCAACCAGCACAGCCTGGCCCAGTCAGCACTGACTTGCTACCAGCAGCTCAACTCAAATGCACCTACTTGGGGAGGCCAGTGCCGACTCCTCAGGCAGGGTCATCCCTCCTTTTGCTCTCCCCAAACTCCCAGTATGCCTCTTTGACGGCAGTATCCCACTGAAGTTGCTGGATGGACACCTTGCTCTCTCACCAGCCTGCAGGTTCCATGAGGCCGAGACCAGCTGTATGTGGGCACCATCACGTCACTGCAGAAGCTGGCACAAATTCCACCCTCAGCTGTTTGTTGCATGAATGACTTACTCGCCTGAGCCCCTGCCCTATGTCAGGCCTTGTACTGGATGCTGGGAACATGAAGACCAGGTGTAGATGCTGGTAGGGGAGACAGCCAAGTAAACACGCAGGGACAGCGCAGAGTGCAGAGTGTGGTGACGAGGAAGCACAGGGGCTGGGGGCACTGAGGGGGTCCCCGGACTTCACTGGAGGACCAGCAGGGCCAGAATTCGCCAGTTGGGAGTGGTGGTGGAGACGACTATGAAAATGGATGTGAGGAAAGTCCGCCTCCTCCAGTCTCCCCAGGGCACAAAGTGGCCGCTGCTCTGCATTTGAAAAGTGGCTTTAGTTGATTAGGTTTCTTTCCCCTCTTGAAATGTGGCTGCTCTGACTTGCTCCTCACTGCATTCCTTGCGTCCTCTTCTCTCAGCCCTGCCTTCAGGACATTGCCCACAAAAGTTTCATCTATTCCCACCTGGGCTCCACTCTCCCCCTCCCACCCCCTCCATGGTTCGATGTCCCTCACCTTCCTGGCTCTCTGCTCATTCACCCAGCTCTGGCCGTCTCAATGCGTGGGTGCCAGCCTGCACCCTCTTTACATGAGCTTTGTTGATTTCATAACCATAAATAGATAAAATGTTCTGAATGCTTTCATGTGCAAGTAGAATTGAGGGAGTGATAGCATAATGAAAAGGCCTCAGGAAAAGGAAAACAGCCTGCTAAGATGCAGCGGAAGACAACACGGCCACTGCACAAGCCAGCTCTGCGTGGGTTTCCTATTCTCACTGCACTGACCGCGGAGCTGTGGACGCAGGATGGGGAGGTGCTTAGGAATCTGTTAGAAAACCTTTCCCTGGTTTCAAATCCACCAATTCAAAAGAACAACCTAGAAAAAAACATAGTAGAAGTCAGGAAAATCTGGGTTCAATTGTGGATGTATCTCATTCTAGCTGTGTGATCCTGGGCAATTTAATCAATATCTCTGAGAAGACATACAGAGATTCTTCCCCTGGGTCAGACTGGAGGCTTCGGAAGGCCCAAGATCCCACAATACCTTCCTTTTCCTCCCATACATAAATTTTGTCTTCCTTACAATGCCTTAATCACCAGCCCTGAGACCCCCTGCCCAAAATGCAGTCCTGCAGACTAGGGTTGGAATAGGGATGGAATAGGGTACCCTGTCTCCTCATTGCCTTTTCCAACACCTGTTGCAGGAAGTGGAGCGTCATCCTGCATGGGGAGGATACATCTCCACAGCCACAAAGGAGGCTGGAAACCAATAAAAAGCCTGGCCCATTGGGCTTCCCACCTCTCCTCCTTTAAGTTGTGCAGGAGCACTACTTCTCTCTGGCATTTGGAACAGTAAAGGGAGTTGAAATGATAGCTTGGTATACCCTGGGTTAAGAGAGCTTTCTGGGTGAGAAAGAGAAACAAGTGGAGATATTCGTTGTGTGAACTCATCCTCTGGTCTAAGGATGGCAAACTTTTTCTCTAAAGGATCAGTTAGTAAAAAAGGGTCAAAAAGTTCTTTAGGCTTTTGAACCATGTGGTCTCTGTTGCAACTACTCAGCTCTTCTATTGTAATGTGAAAACAGCCATAGACAATGAGTAAATGAATGAATGTGACTGTATTCCAATAAAACTTTATTTACAAAAGGAGGCAGCAGGCTAGATGAGGCTAGATTTGCAGTCCATAGTTTGTAAACCCTAGCCCTATCATGTGGTGCAAGAGAGAAAGCTTGGATTGGGAGCAGGAACTAGGGGTGAGGCTCAGCATTGCCAGAGACTTGCTGTGTGACTTTGATTAAGTCATTATCCGTCTCCGAGCCTTTGTTTCACCATCTATCAAATGAGCATCATAATATCAGTCAAGGCTGGGTGTCGTGGCTCACATATGTTATTCCAGCACTTTGGGAGGCCAAGGTGGGAGGATTGCTTGAGGTCAGGAGTTCAAGATCAGCCTCGGCAGAAAAAAAAACTTTCAATTATCTGGGTGTAGTAGTTTATGCCTGTAGTCCCAGCTACTCGAGAGGCTGACACAGAGGATCATTTCAGCCCAGGAGTTTGAGGTGGCAGTGAGCTATGATCAGACCACTGCACTCTAGTCTAGATGACAGAACAAGACTGTATATAAATAAAAATAATGATATCAGTCAGATTTGTCATGAGAATGTATCTAACAGGCCAGAGCAAATCTGGAGTCTTTTTGTCCCTCTGCTCCATGATGTTAAGTGGATTTGCACCCACTGCCCATGCCAACCTCACCTGGCCATGCCCTTGCCTGCTGAGGGTGGCAGCAGCCTGCCAGAAAAGAAGGTGTCTGTCTCCAGGGTCAGATTCTTCATCTGCCTTTCCAAGCTCGAGCCCCAAGTGACCCCATTTCTGTAGCAAGCCAAGCACAGGAGGAAACAAGGAATTCCTTTCTTTCCACCATCCGGTCGTTTGGCAGGAAGCTACAGTTCACTTGAGAGAGTGATGTGGCTGCAGTGGCTGGTGGCCAGGCTTTGGAGGAGGCCTTTGAGACTCAGGCTGGGAATAGAACTGTGAAAAATGGGCGTCAGTGCTCCTCTGGAACATTCACCTGTGGCCACAAGTTAAGTAGTTGCAGCTGTGGTCTCATTGGTGACTTGCAGCACCACCAATTGCATCAATGCATCTTTCTTGGACCATCTTGCCCACCTGTCTGGTCTGACCACTACTGCAAGCTTGCATCCTTTGGCATATTGTCATTTTCTCTGAAGCCCCATTCAGTGATTCATTCATTCATATTCTTTCTGTCTCTCCCAACTTCCCTTCCCTTCCTCCCCCTTTCTCTTTCTCGTAGACACATTTGTCCAGAGCAAGACAAGATCACACTTTGACAGCCCTCTGTCAAGATCCTTGCTCCGTATCTCCAGACTAGCAGCCAGGAGTCTCCATGCTGTTCTGAAGAAGCAGATTCCTCAGCTACCCTTCAACTCCTTCCCAGGAGATAATCCTCCTCCAAATCTCTGGAAAAGATACACCTCCTCTTCTCTGATAAAGGCTGGGGGGTGATGCCCCTCCCCCAGGTTCCCAATAAAGCTGTGCAAGACAGGGGCAAGGGAACTCACGGCCCGTTTTTGCTACAAAAACCCTTTTTCGGAAAAAATAATAAAGAAAGGAATCAGCCAATCCCTCCTCGATGCCATCACCTCTTCTTGGTGATTTTTCGGGGAAGGAGTGGGTGGGTTGCTATGGCAACAGATGCGAGCTCTTCTCAGTAAAGAAGGGACCTTGATTTTTTTCTCTCTCATTCTCTCAGTTGTGTGTGTGTGCGTGCATGTGTATGTGCGCCTGTGTGTGTGTGTGCATGCGCGCTACGCATGCCTGTGCCCACACCAGGATTTTTTTTTTTTTTTTTAGAACTAAAGAAAGCCCTTCTCTTCTCTCAGCTCTCCAAATATGGAGTGATGGAAAACCACTTACTCCTGCAGGCCAGGGAGAATTCAGGATGATTCAAGAGAAAAGGGAGAGGTCATGTGGGGCTCCTTTCCTCCATGTTTTTACTAGAGATTGCATGCAACAAGAGAGCTTTGTAAATGGTTAGGAGGCCCTTGGAAAGAGGAGAATATGCTAGGTGGAAAGGGGTGAGCAAGATATAGATGGTGCAGGAGCCCAACAGGTGACATCAGAGAGGGCAACAGAAGCTATACTGAGTCTGGGGATGCATGCACATCCCACCACGCCATCAGATGCTGAAAGACCCAGAGCAGACTCAGATATGGACACAAACACAGACACTGACAGAGAGGCATATGGAAAGTTGTAGACATAAATACACACAGGCACAAACATAGAACTGCACACAACATAAGAAGTTGGAGACCAAAAAAAAGACAGACATAGATGCAGACATAGGTAAACACATAGATATACAGGGGTACAGACTTGCAGCTACAAAGACACATGCAAACAGATAGAGATATAGACGTGCAACCACGTTCAGACAGGTTTAAAGGCAAACACACAGGACACACAAACACAGTCTCAGTCAAATGAACACAGGCGTGTCCGCGCGCGCACGCGCGCGCACACACACACACACACACACACACACACACACACACACACACACAGTCTGGCTCTTTTCCTTCAATTGCCCAAGCATCCTTGAGCGGTATTGCATAGCTGGAGATGCTGCACGCTTGCCCAGTAGGTTTGGCTGAGAGGCTGTGCTCTCCCATTCCTTCTACACACTCACCCCAAAGCCCCTCTCCCAATTCACTCCCTTGCCCACTTTCCCACAGCCAGCAGGCTCTGATGCCTCCCCCATCTCAGGCTTCTAATTCTTAGCTTGTTCTGCTGCTGCTGCCTGCCACTTGGGGGAGAGAGTGGGGTGACTCAGCCAGGCCAGGATGACTCACACTGCCAGTATTTTTAGCAGCGGCCAGGAGCTCTCTAGTGTGCCAGCCGCCCCCCTCCTCCTGCTTGCTATTTCGGAACCGTCACTGGTGATATAAATAGCTCCTCTCCCACGGCCTGAAGCTGCTGCCAAGCTATTTTTGGTTCTGCACGGTTAAAAATAGCTTCACGGAGGTGGGAGGCAAGGGGAGTGGGAGCTGGCCTAGGGAGAGGAGACATCGGGGCATACAGAGCTTCTCAACTTGAATCAGAGTGGGCGAACTAGGATGAGCCCTTCTCTACCCCCTCCCTTGTCCCTTTCTAGACCCTTCTTTCCTTCCAAAGTGCTTCTTCCCATTCCATTCTTCTGGAAAAAGCCAGGGGCTCTTCCCTTGAGCCCAGTTCTCCTCCCTTGCTTACTTCACCCCTAGAGCCCAGAAATCTTGGCTCCCTGCAAAACCCCTATATTCATTCACAGAAAATAAGGGGACAGTCAAAGGGGAGGCTCACTCTGAGGCCTGTGGGTACCCAAAGCCCTACTTCGATGTCCCCGGCAAATCGTAGCCTGACTTCCCCGGTGGCTCTTTCAGCACCACGGACAGCGGTCGGCGCCCCATTCCTTCACTGCAGATTCGCTCAGATTGCTGGAAGCCATGGGACCCAGCCAGTAGACTCCTCTTATCGTGGAGAGGGACACTCAGAATGCCTCACAGGCAGCTTTATCATCAGTGGGTGAAGAACACAGGAACAACCCCCCTGGAATTTCATACGGAAGGGGGTCCAAAGATCAAGGGTTGTTGAAATGGAAGCTTGAGAAAGGGGTGGGTAGGTACATTAGAGGTCAGATTGAGATGAAAGAAGCAACACAGACCCATGTCCAGGAGGAATCATCTCTCTGTCATCCAGATCAATAGGGTTAGAGACTGTGGCAGACAGACACACGGACATCATTCCCTCCACCTCAGTTGCGACACTGACCACAGGATGGCCCCAACCTCTGCCAAAATGCATAAGACACAAGAATAGGGTCTCTACACCTTGTACCCCTCTTCTAAGACATAATTCTTCTCAGCTGCCTCTCCTCCCACTCTACCTCTGTTGCTATCCCCCCTTTCCATGAGGAGTGGGGAGTTCCCTGGCCCCAAGCTGTTCTTTTTGATGTCAAAGTTAATCTCCATGCTTCCTGTGTGACTGGGAATTCCCAGTCCCACCCTCTAATTTTTAAGTGGCCTCATTTCCAGCCTCTTAAGCGATTCCATGCGCACACAGCTACTCCATCAAACGAGATTTCAGATAAGAACATTCCCTAGCCCACTTGCTTCTTGCATTATTGAATCCCGGGGTAAGAACGGCACCTCCTTGCCCCTGTAGAGAACAATAATCTGTGGTGAAAAGAGAAAAAAGCGGGCGTGGGGGGTGGGGATAAAGCAAAGGTGACAGGATATGGAGAAGAAGGAAAGGGGAAGCTTCAGGGGTCAAGGCACTAAGCTGAGCCGACCAACAAACACGCTAAGAGAAAAAAGAAACGAAGGTGGGGAGTGGAGAGTTGAAGGTGGAGAGGCAGAGCCAGCAGCCCTAGCGCCGCAAATGTGGAGGCGGTGGAGGGAACCTGGAGAAAATACAGGGTCCCTGGTAGGTGCAGGGGTCATAGAGGGTCCAGCGCTGTCCCTTTGCTTCTCGGCTGCTCCCCCATCTTGCCCGCCTAGGCAGGGCGGGGAGCCCTCCGGAGCGGTGCGGAGGCAGCGAGGCCCCGCCCGCCGCCGCCGCAGCCGCGGCAGCCGCCGGAGGATTCCTGTCCTAATATGGAGCTGGGATTCCCCCGGCCCCGCCCCCGCCCCCGGCCCGCGGGGAGACCAAGGCTGGCAGCAGGGCGGGGGGAAGCGCTCGCTTGGGGGCCGGCAACGGGGGGAAGGGATGCCTAAGTGCAGACCCAGGTCCTCGCCGTGTCCCGCGTCCCTGCCTCAGTTTCCCCTGTCAGTAAGATTAATTAGCTGAGAGGGAAACCAAGAATCACTGCAGACTACAGCGCTGGTGTTGGTTTCTATTCCTGGCTGTGGGAAAACAGGATCAACGCCAAATTCAGCTGGTCCCTTTCCCACCGGACTCCCTTTCCACCCATCCTAGGGACTTAGACCCCCACGAACATCCCCTGATTAGCCGCTAAGTCCCAATTTGGGAAGCGGGGGTGGGGATTTTTTCTTTGAAAATGGCCAAGGGAATCCCAGGTTAAGTAGTCCCCAGAGAGGAACCCCAGCTGTGACCTGTCCCACGGAGGCCAAGGAAAGTCCTCCTTCCCTGCATGTGAACGTGACCTTGTTTGTCAAGTAACGAGGGGGATTTGTAGACAGTCTTATTCCTCCCCATTCACTCAACTCCTCAGAAAAATTAGTGTCAGTGCCGGCCCCTCTCTGCCCTCTGCAAACTCCTGCCGGGGGCTTCAGGCCACCCTAACCCTGGCCCTGTCGCTTCCCTCAACTGTACGCGTTCGGACGCCAGGGTCCCCACACCCCATTCAAGCTTTCCTAACGCAGCGCCTGCCTCTCCGCTCAGCTCCCTCCAGGCTCGGCCCCCTCCGCAGCCTCCTGCTCCCCCCTCGCCCGCCCCCCTCCCGCTCTCATTCTACGTCATGAGATGACGTCGGAAGCCGGGCGGGAGGAGGAGCCCCCCTCCCCAGTCAGCGGCTCCCGCTGCAGCTTGCTTAGCCCAGCCTCCCGCTCTCCCGCCCCCCCGCTCTAAAACGAGCCCCCCACGCCTGGCAGGAGCTATATAAGGCGGCGTGAGGCAGGCAAGGGGGGCAGCGCAGCCGAGCGGAGCCCAGGAGAGCAGAGAACGAGCCTGAGCGAGAGAAGGGGAAGCACGGAGGAGGAAGCCGCCGCCGGTGCGTCGGGACGGGAGCGCAGGTGCTCGGGCGCCCGAGCTGGAGCTCCGCAGCCGCCGGTCATGTACCGCTCCACCAAGGGCGCCTCCAAGGCGCGCCGGGACCAGATCAACGCCGAGATCCGGAACCTCAAGGAGCTGCTGCCGCTGGCCGAAGCGGACAAGGTCCGGCTGTCCTACCTGCACATCATGAGCCTCGCCTGCATCTACACTCGCAAGGGTGTCTTCTTCGCTGGAGGTGAGCATGCTGGGGCTACCGCAGATCCGAGCTGCCAGGTGCCGGAGACCCTGGAACTGAGGGAACCCACTGGGGCTGCCGCATGTCTAGGGCAGCGTGCTGGCGAGCTGGGGAGATTTGGGACTCGGGAGATGCGGGACTATCTACTTTTCCTCCTGAGCTCCCTCCAGACCTCACCTTAGTTCTGAATGAGAGTTAGAGAGCCTGGTCGATGTCCCTAACACCAGATTATGAGAGGAGAAGAGCCAGGACAGAGCTGCCTCGGTGCCCGCCAGTGCAGAGGCGCTCCGGGAGCTGGGGAGGGAAACCCGGGAAGTTGCAGGGATGGAGCTGCCTGAGCCTAGGGGAACATAGCCACTGTCCGCGGTGCTGAAAGGGATCGCCTTCGGGGGCACTGCCCATGGTGCTGACGGCTGCATCTGCCGTGTGTGGCGCTGTCCACGGTGCTGATCCCACAGCCCGCTTCGGAGCTCTGTCCACGGTTCTGAAATCAGAGCCACTTTGGAGCTCTGTCCGCGGTTCTGAAATTCAGAGGCGAGGAGTAGCCGACCCCGGTTTAGAAGTCCAGGGCTTGTGGGCTATGGAGGAGATACAGCAACAGGTTCCCCGGCCAAGAGGTGCGGGCAGCGGGTCAACAGGTGTTTGCAGAGGCAGGTCCACGAGAAATTCCTCTGGATTATCTGAAACTCAGACCATGCCTTCTTCACTTCTGCTTTGGCTCCCAGTCTTACTCCTGACTCACCACGTCTTCTCGCCCTACAGGCACTCCTCTGGCGGGCCCCACGGGGCTTCTCTCAGCTCAAGAACTTGAGGACATCGTAGCGGCCCTACCCGGCTTTCTGCTTGTGTTCACAGCCGAGGGGAAATTGCTGTACCTGTCTGAGAGTGTGAGCGAGCATCTGGGCCACTCCATGGTGAGTGCTGAGGGTCCTTTCAGCTGAGGCTGGGCATGGAGGGGGTGCCATGAGCCTTCCACTCCTGAGGAACTGGGAATTACTATGGAGGAAGAGGTTATACCCTACTAGACACTATAGATCAAAGATTGGCTTCTGCTGTTCTCACTAATGGTCATCTCTTCTTTTCCTTCCTCCAGGTGGACCTGGTTGCCCAGGGTGACAGCATCTACGACATCATTGACCCAGCTGACCACCTCACTGTGCGCCAGCAACTCACCCTGCCCTCTGCCCTGGACACTGGTAAGGACTCCTTTCTCCCTTCCTGAGTCCAGTTTCCCACCTGCTGCCCTTCTTCCCACTATCCACTGTCTCTCTCAGCCACTCACCCTCTTATCTGTTTTTCTCTTCTCCTATCTAGATCGCCTCTTCCGCTGCCGCTTCAACACCTCCAAGTCTCTCAGGCGCCAGAGTGCAGGCAACAAACTGGTGCTTATTCGAGGCCGATTCCATGCTCACCCACCTGGGGCCTACTGGGCAGGAAACCCCGTGTTCACAGCTTTCTGTGCCCCATTGGAGCCAAGACCCCGCCCTGGCCCTGGCCCTGGCCCTGGCCCTGCCTCACTCTTCCTGGCCATGTTCCAGAGTCGTCATGCTAAAGACCTGGCCCTACTGGACATCTCTGAGAGGTAAGCCTGGAGTGTTCAGATTCCAAGAGGAAGGCAGGCCAGAGATGAAGGAACCCTAGATTCTGGAGTCAGGGGCAGGGAGGATGGGGTTTAAGGGGGCAGAGGATCTGGGAGGGAGTGAGATGCATGGGTATCAAGCAAGGAAAACAGAAAGCTGACCTCACCCTTTCCACTTTCCCAGTGTCCTAATCTACCTGGGCTTTGAGCGCAGTGAGCTGCTTTGTAAATCATGGTATGGACTGCTGCACCCCGAGGACCTGGCCCACGCTTCTGCTCAACACTACCGCCTGTGTGAGTGTCCAGAGAGGCTGGGGACAAGATAGCAAGCTGGGAAAGGGCATGGGAGACCAGACAAAGATGAGCTGTAGTCAAGAGTGATGCTGGGGAGATAACAGAGGCCAACAGTTTTGGACGCTATAGGGTGAATATGAGGGTGAGGATTCAAGGCAATAATCGAATCAGAACTGGGGGACTTTGAGTGGTGAGGTCAAGGTAGAGAGCTGAGTGGTGCAGGTGAGGGTAGTCAGAAGAGAGGATGTCATGGCTATCTCAATTCAGTGGAGAGGTGACCAAGGGCAGGGAGTAGGTAGAGTTGCCTGGTGGGCATCCTAACTCTGCATCTTCTTTCTCCCCAGTGGCTGAGAGTGGAGATATTCAGGCAGAGATGGTGGTGAGGTTACAGGCCAAGACTGGAGGCTGGGCATGGATTTACTGCCTATTATACTCAGAAGGTCCAGAGGGCCCCATTACTGCCAATAACTACCCAATCAGGTAAGCCACAAGCCAGGGGCCTAGGGGGCAGCTGAGGTCGGCATGGAGGAGATACAAATCAGGGAACTGCTCTGGAAATGGACATCAGACCCTTACCAGCTGCCTCTTCTCTCCTCTCCAGTGACATGGAAGCCTGGAGCCTCCGCCAGCAGTTGAACTCTGAAGATACCCAGGCAGCTTATGTCCTGGGCGCTCCGACCATGCTGCCCTCATTCCCTGAAAACATTCTTTCCCAGGAACAGTGCCCCAGCACTAACCCACTCTTCACCACAGCCCTGGGGGCTCCCAGAAGCACCAGCTTCCCCAGTGCTCCTGAACTGAGTGTTGTCTCTGCATCAGAAGAGCTTCCCCGACCCTCCAAAGAACTGGACTTCAGTTACCTGACATTCCCTTCTGGGCCTGAGCCTTCTCTCCAAGCAGAACTGAGCAAGGATCTTGTGTGCACTCCACCGTACACGCCCCATCAGCCAGGAGGCTGTGCCTTCCTCTTCAGCCTCCATGAGCCCTTCCAGACCCACTTGCCCACCCCATCCAGCACTCTTCAAGAACAGCTGACTCCAAGCACAGCGACCTTCTCTGATCAGTTGACGCCTAGCAGTGCAACCTTCCCAGATCCACTAACTAGCCCACTGCAAGGCCAGTTGACTGAAACCTCAGTCAGAAGCTATGAAGACCAGTTGACTCCCTGCACCTCCACCTTCCCAGATCAGCTGCTTCCCAGCACAGCCACCTTCCCAGAGCCTCTGGGCAGCCCTGCCCATGAACAGCTGACTCCTCCCAGCACAGCATTCCAAGCACACCTGGACAGCCCCAGCCAAACCTTCCCAGAGCAACTGAGTCCCAATCCTACCAAGACTTACTTTGCCCAGGAGGGATGCAGTTTTCTCTATGAGAAGTTGCCCCCAAGTCCTAGCAGCCCTGGTAATGGGGACTGCACGCTCTTGGCCCTAGCCCAGCTCCGGGGCCCCCTCTCTGTGGATGTCCCCCTGGTGCCCGAAGGCCTGCTCACACCTGAGGCCTCTCCAGTCAAGCAGAGTTTCTTCCACTACTCTGAAAAGGAGCAGAACGAGATAGACCGTCTCATCCAGCAGATTAGCCAATTGGCTCAGGGCATGGACAGACCCTTCTCAGCTGAGGCTGGCACTGGTGGACTAGAGCCACTTGGAGGACTGGAGCCCCTAGACTCCAACCTGTCCCTGTCAGGGGCAGGCCCCCCTGTGCTCAGCCTGGACCTGAAACCCTGGAAATGCCAGGAGCTGGACTTCCTGGCTGACCCTGATAACATGTTCCTGGAAGAGACGCCCGTGGAAGACATCTTCATGGATCTCTCTACCCCAGACCCCAGTGAGGAATGGGGCTCAGGGGATCCTGAGGCAGAGGGCCCAGGAGGGGCCCCATCGCCTTGCAACAACCTGTCCCCAGAAGACCACAGCTTCCTGGAGGACCTGGCCACATATGAAACCGCCTTTGAGACAGGTGTCTCAGCATTCCCCTATGATGGGTTTACTGATGAGTTGCATCAACTCCAGAGCCAAGTTCAAGACAGCTTCCATGAAGGTGAGTCAGCCAAAAGGTCCAAGAACTCAAATCCCTCTCCTGCCAATGAAATGCTGGGTAGAATTAGGTAAATCAATTCCCCCTCTCTGTACCTTGATTTTATTAAGGGGATGACATCCACGGCTGCAGAGAGTAGCAGTGGGGATAGGAAAAAATGAAAGGCTTAATATGAAAGTTTGAACAAGTAGACATGGCAGGGGCTGAGGCTGTGGGATAGAGTGGTAGAGAATCCTTAAGGAAGGGCTTGTGCTTAACTCCATAAGAGTCCTAGGTCAGTCTTCACTACCCCACTTTACAGATGGAAATAATCAAGGTCCCAGAGTTAAAGAAACTTTCCTTAGGGCACACAACAAACTTATGGAAGAGGAACTAGAGCTCCATCATAGTATCCTAGCTCCCTGAAAGGGATACAGAGCAAGAGTTTATAGAAGTTGGTAAAAGAAAGATGAGGCTCAGCCCCTGACTCCATTGAGGTAGCTCCCTGGTTACAGCCCCATCCTTCCTAAACTACAGCCACGGTTTCACTCCATCCATCCAAATTGCCCCCTAATCTGCTGAGCCTCTGGCCATCGTTTCATCATTGAGCCAACATCTTTGAAGCCCATATTAATACCAACACATTCTCAGCCCCAGGATCCTCTGTCCTTATTGGCCTAGCTGATTGTGTTCTCTCTCTCTGTCTCTCTGCAGATGGAAGTGGAGGGGAACCAACGTTTTGAATAAGTCTGTGACTTAACGTCGTCAAGTATGGCATATTGTCATCAAGACGTGGAGCCGCTCTCCACCCCCCCGGGACTGTTGGGGGGATTCTGGGGGCCAGAGGGGGATATATATGATTCCCCAGGCCCTGCAGGATTTGGGGGGGGGAGGTGGGAGGGCAAGGGAGGGGAGCTTCTTTTTAAAATCAGAGACTTCGAGCGATCCCAGTTTCCATTTCAATCTGTATTCACTCGTAGTGAGTTTCCTTGAATGGGATTTCAAGCGGAGAATGGGGGAGTCTCACTTCCCCGCCGCCTTGCCCCATTGGCCTGGGCCAGTTCTCCACTCCTAGGGGCCAAGCCACCCCTAGGCCTTGGTGGGGGAAAGGCAAGGCCCACCCGGGCCAGCCCGTGCCCTGAGGGGCTCTTGACACCCACGTAGAATTCTCTACACACCAGTAACGGGATTTCAATTCCGATGGACTCTGCCGCCCTGGCGGCCCTTCCTGTGACTTTTGCGCCCCGCGCCTGGGGTGGGGGGTGCGAAGAGACGCTACGTTCCTTTCCGATGGAGGAAGGCAGACCTGCCGTCACACGTGTGCTTGCACGAGTGCGTGTACCTGGTGCGGGACTCACCCGGCCGCCAGACTGCCTGGGCCTGCCCAGATGGCCACCTCGTGGTGCTGCGGTGACTTTGTAGCCAACTTTATAATAAAGTCCAGTTTGCCTTTTTGGTACCTCTGGTTTCATGCACTACTGTGTAAAAGGAAGGGTGGAGGATAAGTTTGGGAGGCTTGGATGGGAGCCTGGGGGCCAGGAGGTAAAAGCTGGACCTGTTTGTGGCCCCAGCATTTCTTCGTCCACTTGTGAATTCATTCATTCATTCATTCATTCACTCATTCATTCATTCTTTCACTCAACATCCACATGTACATTGTATGGCCCATACTGTGCTAGAAGCTGGAAAGTTTAGGGCTAAAACAGATGTTATGTCTTGCCCTCAAGGTGCTTGGCCAAACCCCGTACTAGAGAATATCGGCATCTCCTCTCTGTGCCAGGCTTGCAGTGCTCGTGGTGTGGGAGGAAACAGAGGGCCTAGGGGTGGACAAGAGGATTCAACTTGATGTTGGTTCTGGACATGGGTTTGAAGCTTCTGCTCACAAGTTCTTTCTTCACCTGGCCTTCAGGGAAGCAACTTCCTTGTGGGGCCCTGGATCGACCCATTGGAAACTGTAACCACATCTGTTATCCTTGCACAGGGCTTTCAGCTGACACACACTTTTACATCTCTTTTTGCTGCAACAATGCCTCTGGGCAGGCATATTAGCCCATCTCACTGATGAAGAAACTGAGGACCACAGGTGAAAAGTTATTTGTTCCCACAGTTGGTGAGAGGCATGGGTGGGTGGGCAACGTACCCAGAGCATCTACATCCCAGCCCTGGGCTGTTTCCTCTGCTGGAAGAGCCAGTGAACCACCACCCATCCCAAATCATCTCATCCCAGATTACTCAAGAAGGGCAAATGTGGGCTGGAGCAGGGTCCTTTCTCCCAAGTGTGGGGTAAGAAACCCCCTCCTTTTGCTTCTCCAAGTCTGTAAAGTAGAGCTGAGAACTTATAACTTGCTTATAACTCAGTAAGTCAAGAGACAAAAGTTTCCAAAAATGCTGTTTTCCTCCAAGCTTGAAGCCCAAACAGCCACTGGGTAGGGTGAGGGGCAAATGAAACTGAGATGGGCTGGGCACAGTGGCTCACACTTGTAATCCCAGCACTTTGGGAGGCCAAGGCAGGAAGATTACTTGAACCCAGGAGTTTGAGATCAGCCTGGGAAACCTGGTGAAATCCCATTTTTACAAAAAATACAAATATTAGCTGGGTGTGGTGCACACGTGCAGTCCCAGCTACATGAGAGCTGGAGGCTGGAGGATCTCTTGAGCCTGGGAGGCAGAGGTTGCAGCGAGCCAAGACTGCACCACTGTACTCCAGCCTGGGCGACAGAGCGAACCCTGGATTCAAATCTCACCTCCACCAATTATTTGCCAAATGGGACTTGAGGTTCAGTTTCTCCACAAGTGAAGTGAAGCTGACAAACATGGTACTTATCTCCCAAAGACGCTGTTAGAACCTGATAGTGTCCATTTATAAGCGGAGAAGCACAGAATTGACTTAAGTTATTAAATTGAATTAGAAGGCAATGGTGACCTCAAATGCTTGAGAGCATGTTTCTTTCTCAGGGAAAGGAAGGAAACTCCAGGCCCCGATCTTTCCCCGGTGAAGTACTGAGGCTGGGTTCCAGGAACTGAGGGTGCAAACCTGAGAAAGACCCTAAGACTCCTTTCATTCCAAATCCTCCAGTTCTGGGGCCATGCCCTTTCTGAGGGTCCCAGGGGAAGGAGGACACTCCTGGGGACCTGTCACTATTTTTCCACCTTGGACAGGTCCTTGAGTGGAACAGGAGAGTGGAGTTTTGCCCTCTGCCTTCCTTGTGCATCTGTTCTCCAACTTGGACAAAATAACTGGACTGTCATCCCCAGGAGGACCCTGGCACAGAGCACAGGACTGGCACATAGCAAGCACGCTCAAAGTGTCTTCTTGAAAGGAATCTGTTTTTTTCTTTCTTCTTTCTTTCTTTTTCTTTCTTTATCTCTCTCTCTTTCTCTCTCTCTTTCTTTCTTTCTATCTTTCTCTCTTTCTCTCTCTTTCTCTCTCTCTTTCTTTCTCTTCTTCATTTTAGACAGGGTCTCACATTTATTGAAAGAAACTTCTTTCTTTCATTAGCTCTTTCTTTCTTTCTTTCTTTCCTTCTTTCTTTTTTCTTTCTTCTTTGTTCTTTCATTCTTTCATTCTTCCTTTTCAGACAAGGTTCACTATATTGCCCAGGCTGGACTCAAACTCCTGGGCTTAAGAGATCCTCCTGACTCATCCTCCCAAAGTGCTGGGATTACAGGTGCACAGTACCCCACCTGGCTGAGAGGACACTTCTGAAGATCAAAGGATTTCATTAGAGTCATCAGTTTCTACCACAAAAATGTGTTCCCAAGTTCCCCAGAGGGAATCTTAAGTGGCCATGAGCTCAGGACACACACTGGAGTCCCATCTAAAAACCTCCCTGGTGGGGGGCCGGGTGCGGTGGCTCAAGCCTGTAATCCCAGCACTTTGGGAGGCCGAGACGGGCGGATCACGAGGTCAGGAGATCGAGACCATCCTGGCTAACACGGTGAAACCCCGTCTCTACTTAAAAAAAAAAAAAAAATACAAAAAGCTAGCCGGGCCAGGTGGCGGGCGCCTGTAGTCCCAGCTACTCGGGAGGCTGAGGCAGGAGAATGGTGTAAACCCGGGAGGTGGAGCTTGCAGTGAGCTGAGATCCGGCCACTGCACTCCAGCCCGGGCAACAGAGCGAGACTCCGTCTCAAAAAAAAAAAAATAAAAAAAAAATAAAAACCTCCCTGGGGTCATTAAAAAAAAAAAAGGAAAGTCTGGTCAGGAAATTGTGGCAGCTCATGCCTATAATCCCAGAACTTTGGGAGGACGAGGTGGGAGGGTGGCCTGAGCTCACGAGTTCAATACCAGCCTGGGCAACAAAGCAAGATCCAATCTCTACAAACAAAAATTAGGTGGGCGTGGTGGCATGCACCTGTAGTTCCGTCTACTTGAGAGGCTGATGTGGAAGGATTGCTTAAGCCCAGGAGTTAGAGACTGCAATGAGCTATGGTCATACCATTGCACTCCAACCTGGGCAACAGAGCAAAATCCTGCCCCAAAAACAAAACAAAACAAAACAAAAAAGAAAATCTGAGAAACCTAAGGAAACATAATGATGAAATAGAATGTAGTATACTAGAACAGAAAAAGGACGAAAGGTAATGAGGAAGTCTGAATAAAGTATGGACTTCAGTTGATAATACTGTATCAACATTGATTCATTTATTGTGACAAATGTATCATGTAAGTGTAAGATGTTGGTAACGGGGGAAATGGCTGTGGGGTCTGTGGGAACTTTGTAGGATCTTCACAACTTTTCTCTAAGTCTAAATCTATAATAGGCCGGGCATGGCGGTTCACACCTTAATCCCAGCACTTTGGGAGGCTGAGGTGTGTGGATCACCTGAGGTCAGGAGTTCGACAGCAGCCTGGCCAACATGGTGAAACCCTGTCTCCGATAAAAATACAAAAATTAGCTGGGCATGGTGGCGTAAGCCTGTAATCCCAGCTACTCAGGAGGCTGAGGCAGGAGAATCACTTGAATTCGTTAGGCGGAGGTTGCAGTGAGTCTAGATTGTGCCATTGCACTCCAACCTGGGTGACAGAGTGAGACTCTGTCTCAAAAAACAAAAACAAACAAACAAACAAACAAACAAAAAACACAGAAAAGCCCCCATCTTTTTTTTTTTTTTTTTTTGAGATGGAGTCTTGCTCTGTCACCCAGGCTGGAGTGCAGTGGCATGATCTCGGCTCACGGCAGCCTCTGCCTCCCGGGTCCCAGCAATTCTCCTGCCTCAGCCTCCTGGGTAGCTGGGATTCCAGGCGCATGCCACCACGCCCGGCTAATTTTTCTATTTTTAGTAAGACGGGGTTTCACCATATTGGCCAGGCTTATCTCAATCTCTTGACCTCGTGATCCACCCGCCTCAGCCTCCCAAAGTGCTGGGATTACAGGCATGAGCCACCGCGCCTGGCCGCCCCACAACATTAAAAAGTAAAAATTATGGAAGAAAAAAAGAAACCCCTCCTTGGTATTTGGGGGCAGTGACAGGAGATGGTAGAGTGTGTGTAGACAAGAAGGCACCCTAACACTCAGAACTGCTGAGCCAGGCAGTCGGCCCGTGCGGAGAAGGAAGTTGAGAGAGCCCATGGCGCCCCCTGCTGGACATAGAACTATCTGCTTCTGTTCCCTTCCCTGGCAGGGTCCCTGTGGCTCGGAGCATCAATACTGCATCTTAGAATAGATGGGTAAACTGAGGCCCAGAGAGAAGAAAGGAATTGCCCAATGGCACTTCCAAAGTGGCTGCCGAAGCCAAATCTGACTCTCAAGCACCCTTGCCACCAACACCAGATTGCTGCCCTGGGAGCAAAAAGGTATGAGAAAGGGCTGAAGTTTTGGGGTCACAAAGACTGAGCTCAAATACTGACTCTGGCACCTCATTTTGCATGTGATAAACACTTATGACACCTACATGTGCCAGGACTTTGCTAGGTGCTAGGGAAAACTGAACAAGACAGACAAGGTCCCTGGACTCACAGATCTTACACTGAAGTTGTGGGGAGACATAACAAAAAGTAAAATAACTCTCTAAAAGGAGCATGCAGTGCGTGCAATGAAAGAAAGAACTTGCGTGCTGTGGCAGCGAGTAACTGAGGAGGGGGTGCTAATTTAGAGTGTGGAGTCAGAAAACTCTTCTAAGGTGACATTGAGCTAAGACCTAAAAGATAAGAAAGAAGAACAGGCCAGGCACAGGGGCTCATGCCTATAATCCTAGCACTTTGGGAGGCTGAGGCAGGTGGATGGCTTGAGCCCAGGAGTTTGAAACCAGCCTGGGCAACAAGACGGATCCCTGTCTCTACAAGAAAAAAAAAAAAAAAAAAAAAAAAGCAAAAAGTTAGCCAGGCGTGGTGTGCACCTGTAGTCCCAGCTACCCAAAAGGCTGAGGTAGGAAGATCACCTGAGCCCAGAAGGGCGAGGCTGCAGTGAGCCTTGATTGCACTTGCACCACTGCAGTCCAGCCTGGGTGAAAAAAGTG